TATAAAGCAAGCGGATCCGTTAACGCCGGAACAAGACGTCCTGTGGGAGAAAAAATTACTGGGATCGCATACTTCAAAGAGTTACATTAACACTGTATTTTATTACAACTGCAAACTTTTTGGACTCCGTGGACTAGATGAGCACCGAAAATTAGAGGTATGTCAAATCAAATGTGGCGATTCTGATGGCAAGGCAAACATTGAATTTTGTGGGCGCACGTCAAAGAATTTCTCCGGAGGATTACACCAGAGAAACATTCTTGCCAAGACGATACGCCACTACTCAGAATCCGGTACACTCCGCAGTTTGTTTGATGTTTATTCGTCCTACATTTCTCTGGTGGGGGAAGGATCATTCTATAGACGACCACTCCCGGGACCCGAACCACGTTTCGGAATCCAGCCTATAGGGGTCAACAAACAAGTTGGGTACCATTATCAAGACCATGTGTGCCGAGGCAGGGTTTGTGGGGAACTTTTCAAATCACTCGGGGAAACGGACCTGTGCAACGACATTGTTTCAGTCCGGTAAGCCAAGATTAAGTTAAATTGTCTTTAAAAAGGGGGAAATATTTTATGTTTGATGACGTAAAAGTATGCTAGTTATATCGTGTACGTGACTTGAATTAATAATTTCAATATTTACTTACACTAAAGGTTTTGAAGAGCAACAGATCATGGAGAGAACGGGGCACCGTAGTTCCGCAGTTAGAACCTACAAAAGGCAATCGGAGCAACAACTCCTTGAAGTAAGTCAAGCACTGGAGCCACACCAAAAAATCCCTGAAACAGTGTGACGACGTGGAGAAGGAAAATGCCATTATTCCAAAACCGGAGGATGACGGGAAGGAAAATTCTACTATTCTACCTAAACACCCTGAACAGGATGTGCGAATTCCTATGGGAGATAAAGTTATCCACTTCGAGAATTGCTCCGTGTCAATGTCTTTTTTGTAAACAGTGATTTCAAACATTTGTGTGGAGAAGGAGAATGCCATTATTCGAAAACTGGAGGATGCCAGGGAGGAAAATTCCAATATTCTACCTAAACAGCTTGCACAGGATGTGCGAATTTATATAGGAGATAACGTTATCTGCTTCGAGAATCGCTCCGTGTCAATTTATTTTTTGTCAGTTTGTAATTTGTGCTTTGATTTAAACTATGTTTTCTGCTCCAGAAGAGCGGGAAATTGTCAATATTTTAGAAATGTCATCAGTTGTGTGAAATTTGCTATGTTTTGTGCTTTTTTCTTGTTTTAGTTAGTTCATTAAAATTTAGAAACGAATTTTTGTCTCATTTGCATAGCTCCTCCTTCACCCTGTATCTAACAGTTGGATATCACTAACTTTATATCACACATGTGATATTTAATATATCACCACACTTATGTTGATATGAGATATACACCCTTGTAAAGATCAAAGGAAAATCTGTCGGTCATGGGATAATCTTTGAAATACACTACCCTTTCAGGGCACATCGACAGGAATTTGATTTAAGCCATACAGCTCAACTATAGTATATGTAGCTCATGTGAGCATTTGGGCCAAAGGGCCTCAATTGTTGTCGCCTTTTAATACAGAATCTAAAAGCTAGTTATTATTCCACGGGAGTCTTTGTTTTTCTTTATGAAGGGTATGCAGATTTTAAGGGTGATGATACATTTTGTTCAGACCCCGAGGCCCATTTTCGACTCCAAGATATTACTCGATAGGGGTTCTTATTTATCTATACAACGGCATTATTTAAAATCAACTCCAATACATGTAAGTACTTTCATTACTTTCATTATCTGTGGTTTAAAATACTTCAGATTTAATTAATTATATATCAATGCAATTTCGATGCAATCTTATGTTACCTTAATAAAAAAAAATGACGATCATAAAAAAACGGGGTCTCTATAAATGCATTAAACAGTGGTAGTGAATTTACATGTATAAAATGTTAGTTCCTCACAGCGTCTTAACATATTCTAATGGCGAAAACGAGGTTATTCTGAATTAATAACGAAATTTTCAGACAAATAAATAAACATGCTTCGCAGTGATAAAACCATCACTGTTAAGCTTTATTTAAGTGCCATAAATCCAATCACAATAAAAGTATGATTATAGGGAAAGTTGTATAACCTTTAAAATATGACCCATGAAGGGCTTTTCAGTTAAGCGTATCAATAAATGTTTAAAATCACTGAGAAAAAATTGATGGCAGAAAAGATCGTGTAATAGGATTAATGTTTTAATGTTGTATAATGGTAAACGTGTTTAGCGAATACCTTGTAAACATATTGTTTAGCCTTGAAAATAAATAGAATTTAGACATAGATACAAATAATAAGTAAACTCCTAAATATCCCGTGAATGACCCATATGAACTCTTTTGTTAAATTTCATTACATGCCGGGCTGGAGTAAATCGGGGTAAACACGTGGCTAGTAGTATTACACGTGACCAAACACGTGGAATTGGTTATAATGCTTTCAAATTAAATAGAAAAAAGAATCTAAACACATGAACAAACAGGGTCATATTAGCAAGCAGTTAAATTATTTTGGAGCTTCATAACTATCCATGATTATTGGGGAAGTTAAAGTCGACACTAACAAAGTTTGAGGCATGTAAGTACATATTTCAATCATAAAGTTACTATCTTGAGTAAAACAGACTTTAAATAAAGCACATCCTTACTGTATGTATGCGACTACATTAAAAGTACCATCTGCACTGTACATCTGACAGCATAGGACCTGGTCTGACAGAGGAGCACTTTTTTTTCAAATCGGAAATAGCGGTTCATCAAAACTGTTGTAAGCTGTTGTCTTAATTGTTGCGTTTTCACTGTCATAGTGTTGTTGATTTTGTAGATACTGCCACCCAGTTAATTTAGAATTTACGATATGATTGTATGATCATCAGTATAGTGAAGGCTTTTAAAAAAATGGCCTTTTGAGAAAATAAATTAGCATGATTTGAATAAAATGCAATGTACACTATATGGAGATGCTTGCACTCTTCCAAAAATTATGAAAGCCATGACTATCAGGCCCAGTGTGGTTATCCTGGTCATATTGCGACCGTGTCGACTTAGACGTTACCAAGGATTCGTCTGGAACTGCATCCGAGGTTCAGTCTGTTAATTTGCAGTTTGAACGGGGTGAAGGAGTGTTGGCGTAGAGGGTACGAGGTATAGGTACATGTAGAGGCGCTGTGTGATCGTAAGGTAAAAAACGAAGTATAGGTGTGCCGTTTTCCCTTTAGTTAACCAATATGCAATTCCAGAGATAAAATAAATGATGATGGTTTCTCTATTTATTAAACGAGTTTTAACGATGACAACAATTAACGTGAAACAACAAACAAACGTGATCGAGTCGAATCTGACCAAAATGGCCCCAGGACTCAGAGTCCTGGTGAGTTGGACGTGGCCGAGACTGGCCTTCGTATAATTGAAATTATACATGACTATCTATAAGAATCTACGCAATGACAGGTGTTGACATTAAGTAAAATAAGCGAAAGATTCACTGGTATTGAGTAATTAAATATACTTAATGACTCTGAAGTTTGGACATGAAAAACAGATTACACAATGTGGTTATAACAGATTAAATTGTTCTTGGGACATAGTACTCTGTCTCTTTGTAAAAACAGATCAAGTGTTCGAGAAGTGTCACTTGTAAATCTTTGTAAATCAAACAATTATCTTTGTAAAACACATTGTGAGAAATAGAATATGACATAAGCACGAAATTGAAAAAGTGAGGTCCAAAATATTTTTTTTTTCGAAAACAGTGATTTTTAGACTGATAATAAGATAAAAAAAATTAAATCACAATTGAAAAATTTTATTTTCTCTTGGACACCAAGCAGACAAACTATTTGCATAAAAACGAGGGTAGGGTTAAAAAAATGTATATATATATATATATATATATATATATATATATATATATATATATATATATATTTATATATATATATATTTATATATATATATATATATATATATATATATATATATATATATATATATATATATATATATATATATAAATCCTTAAGCCTTAACATTTGGCGAGAAAACTAACCATATAGATGCTGACAATAGGCAATAATGAGTCCTTTCCCAAACGCTTTTGATGCGAGTTATTACGCCTTCCGAAAAATATTTCCATTTCTATTTGTTTTCTCTGTGATAACTCTTTGAAAGTTAGGAGAGTTGATTTCTTAATCATTCTACCGGAATGCAAATTTCGCCAAGCGAAAGGTCAGGAGCTAAGAAGGCCTAATATGCATGTAATTCTCGTGCGGCTGTCTTTGTGTCCGACTCTAAGGAGGCCTAATATGCATGTAATTCTCGTGCGGCTGTCTTTGTGTCCGACTCTAAGGAGGCCTAATATGCATGTAACTCTCGTGCGGCTGTCTTTGTGTTTGACGTCAGTGGGCGGGGACTATTGAAATTGACATGAGAGGCCTCGTGTAATTTAAATCTATTAGTTTACATTTTTAAAATCTAAATTTACAATTTTATTTCACAATGAATTGGAAATATAAGACTTCGCCCGTTATGCAAATTATCCCACGTTTCCAACCATCGTTGATGCCCTGGCATACTCTACTAACTAAACAGTGATTCCTTAATTATATACTTGAAAAGAAAAAAAAATCTTTTTCACGTCTTCACGTTATTAAGGCCTTAGGCAACCTATAATCTGGAGAAAGTGGGATGTTTATCTATACATCCTGTATTTCTTTGTTTTTAGATTCAGTTAATTTGTTACATGAAACATGGTATTTATTAAAATTACACAAAATTCATATTTATTTTGGGAATTTTATTTTTTCATATTTCTGCACAGAATTTCAGTCTAGATACAAACATAAATTTGGGGAGAATAAAAAAAGAGGCTGGTTTGATAGAAAAATTTCGTGATATGTGTTTTATCATTAATAAAGCCTTCACTATTTTTTATTTCTTTTTTTTCTGTCTCAACAGCATGAAGACAAGATCTAACGACGCCATTTTGACCTTCACTGATATTTGTTTGACCTTGAAAGAAAAGACTATTCTAACAAACATAAATGGGAAAGCCAGAAGTGGGCAGATCTTGGCCATCATGGGCCCAACAGGTAAACTTATATTTTCTTAATTATTTCGTAAGCTACAGTCATTTTGTTTTAAATCTCTGAATGTGAAAAAAAAAAAAAAACAATCAATGACATTATTTCTTGGCTAAAGAAAATCTGGACTAAAATGTGTCAAATATACAGTATTAAGTTTTTGTTAAAGTTTGTTCACTTTACGACCTCTTAATAAGTATAAAGGTAAAAGAAATGATCAAAAAATCAAAATTATCGTAAAATGTTTATGTTTACAATGTATATACTTTATCATAAATAAGAAATATACGATATGATTATTATCAAAAATGGTTTTACAAAATCATATGCGAAATATCAAACATGTTGATTAACATCATTACATGTAGTCATTAGCTGAGTTTAGGGCTTTATAAATTTTATTTAAGATTCTTGTTTCATTAAAAGTTAAATAGTTCAAAAGCAATATAGTCAATATATATTTTCTCCAGTTATCAATTTGGCAAAATTTATATTACAGGGTCAGGAAAAACTTCTCTTCTTAACATTTTGGCGGGAAATCTTACATTGACATCAGGAACGATAACTTACAATGGGAACCCCTTCATGAAACTTCAGCGGCGGAAACTGGCGTATGTTCTACAGAGTGACATATTTCTTTCAAGACTCACCCTAAGGGAAACTCTCTATGTAAGCATTATATTTAATAAATCATACATTTCCAAAAACTTTCTAATTTTCCACTTAAACGGTGAGTAAACGATGAGTGAAAAGTGGACGAACGCAGAGCGAATGGTGAGTGAACAGTGAAAGGATCGAAACACGAGCGCAATTTGAACGAGTGAACTCACTATGAATGCAAGATTGACGGAATGTCTTGGATGTTTTTTCTCGCATTGCATTTATACCATAATCAGGCAAGAAAAATGATAAGTAAATTTAATCAATAAATGGTATGACATCTCCAATAGACCAGCTATGACGTCACAACCAACGCCATTACACCTAATAGGCAATAGGGCAAAAGAAAAAAGGAAAAAGTAATTAACAGTCAATTAATTGTTTTGTATTTGGATATGGAATTTATTTCACTCGCGAGACGGTTTTTTTTTTTTTTTTTTTTTTTTTTTGGGGGGGGGGGGTTATTTTAACTCATGCTTTGTACTCGTGAAAATATAAAAAAGGAATCCTGTCCCGGTCGTGAAATTAATTCCATATCCATATGCAAAGCATCGAATAAAGGACTGCATTATCTTATAAATGCTCAAGGTCAGACGACACATTCCTCAAATATCTGTTTTGTTTTTCTTCGAAGTGTATAAAAATATATTAATAATTATCATCATCTTGTAAATTCTGTACTGTTTTCAATATGTTTTTAAAAGAAATAGTCCAAAAATTTTGATATTGGCAATTCAAGTAATTTCCAGTAAGATTATGTAGGAAACACCATCCCCTGGTATCTTGCACAAATGCATGGTAAGGTACCTCAATTTTTTGTTAATAAACTTGTAAAGGTGGCAAAACTTTAAGGGCAAATTTTTGGGGAAAATTATATATTATTGAGGAACGTGTCATCTGACCTTAAAAAAGCAAATAACTGTGAGTGCATAGATTTTTTCCGCATCAAAAATGTTTGAAAATTTTAGTTTACCGCCATGATACGACTTCCTGATCACGTGACAAAAGCAGATAAGATGGCGCGAATCGATGAAATTGTAGATGCACTTCACCTGCGAAAATGTTTGGACACTGGTAAGGGAACAGTATTCTTTAGTCAAACAATTCTATTGATTTTCAGAAGTAGCGATAAATTCATTCTACACTATAGTACCTGTATTATTCATGTATATATATATGACGTTTTTCGTTCATTCTCCCCCCAATTTTTTTCTTTTCATGATTTTGTGTTTACTCATATACACATAATCTGTTTGCTTGATTGCTTTTTCTAGAGGAAGCTTTATTAGGGTCTTCCGTCTCCAACGGAAGACCCTTCTATTATTCTATTGTTTCTTTTTCACTTTTATTATTATTATTAGGGTCTTCCGTCTTCAGCGGAAGACCCTTCTATTATTCTTATGTTTCTTTTTCACTTTTATTATTATTAGGGTCTTCCGTCTTCAGCGGAAGACCCTTCTATTATTCTTATGATTCTTTTTCAAGCTTATTATTATTATTATTATTATTCTTTTTTTCTGCACAAATTTTGTGCAGACGATTTCTCGGAGATGGATCGATGGATTTGCGTCAGATTTTCAGGATTGTTGCTAGGTTATCTGAAGTTAATTCCGGCTGAACAATTTTTAGAAATTTACTTCTGGTCCGGAGTTATCGCCCTTTTATCAAAATTTAGAGGACCTCCTTGTCTGCGATGGAACTCAAAAACGGCTTAAGCTAGAGCGCTGAAATTTTCAGTGATGATAGAGGACATGTTGCCATTTTGCACCTGGGTTTGGATATTTTCCGGAAATGCCTAGTATGGAAGCTCGGTAGGGGTCGAAATTTAGGACACGAATCATGAGTTAATTTTTGAGACATTTTGTATCATATCTTTTAAAGTATAATTATTTTGTAAAAACATACTGAACAATATTTGTGCAGAATGACAAGATCTTTAGTATGATATCAAGAAAAAAGGGCTGACTTGTCATATTAGGGGCCGAGAGGGGCCAAAAGTATAAAATCAATAACTCTCTAACGATCAATATTTTGGTATACATTACTGAAGCAAAAATGTTTATCTTAACAATTTACAACCATATATTATGATATATACATCATATGTTACATAATTAGGGGCCATGAGGGGCCAGAATGCCAAATCTTTGGCACTCTATATCTCAAAAGTGGAAAATATTTTGATAAGCAATATTGAATAAAAGATGTTCAAAATAATGTTCTAAACAATATCTAAACTTTCGATTTTTGCTAAACGTCCCCATTAAGGAGTTGAAGGGCTGGCCCCTAAATATATCTTTTGCATATAGCTCGGAAACGAAAAAGAATTTCTGAATAGTTGTTGAACAAAAAGTGTTCAAAATCATAAGGGCTTTAAAATGGTATGAAGAAAAAGGGACTGGCCCCTCAAAATAGGGGCCGAGAGGGGCCAAAAGTGTATAATCAATATCTTTTTCATGATCAATATTTTGCAATTCATTTCTGAAGCAAAAATGTTTATCTGAACAATTTACAACTATATATTATAAAATTTATGTCATATGTTATATAATAAGGGGTCATAAGGGGCCAGAATGCCAGATCATTGGCACTCTATATCTCGAAAGTGGGAAATATTTTGATAAGCAATATTGAATAAAAGATGTTCAAAATAATGTTCTAAACAATATCTAAACTTTCGATTTTTGCTAGACGTCCCCACTAAGAAGTTGAAGGGCTGGCCCCTAATCATATCTTTTGCATATAGCTCGGAAACGAAAAAGAATTTCTGAATAGTTGTTGAACAAAAAGTGTTCAAAATCATAGGAACTTTAAAGTGGTATGAAGAAAAAGGGGCTAGCCCCTTAAAATAGGGGCCGAGCGGGGCCAAAATTGTTTAATCAAAACTTTTTAACAATCAATATTTTGCAATTCATTACTGAAGCAAAAATGTTTATCTTAACAATTTACAACTATATATTATGATATTCACATCACATGTTACATTATTAGGGGCCCTAAGGGTCCAGAAGTTCAAATCTTTGGCACTTTATATCTCGAAAGTGGGAAATGTTTTGATAAGCAATATAGAATAAAAGATGTTCAAAATAATGTTCTAAACAGTAAGTAACCTTTCGATTTTTGCTAAACGTCCCCATTTAGGAGGTGAAGGGCTGGCCCCTAAATATATCTTTTGCATATATCTCGGAAACGAAAAAGAATTTCTGAATAGTTTTTTGAACAAAAAGTGTTCATAACCATAAGAGCTTTAAAGTGGTATGAAGAAAAAGGGTCTGGCCCCTCAAAATAGGGGCCGAGAGGGGCCAAAAGTCTTAAATCAATAACTATTTAATGATCAATATTTTGTAATATATTACTGAAGCGAAATAGTTCATCTTCACACTCTTTAGCTATATAACATGGTGTTTACGTCATATCTTATGCAATAAGGGATAATTAGGGGTCAGATTGTATAATCTTTGGCGCAATAAATCTTGAACAGGAAGAATATTTTGATAACCAATATTTTAACTAAAGACGTTCAAAATAATATTCTTAATAATATGCAATCATTCAATTTTTGCTAGACGTCCCCGTTTAGGACTTAAAGGGCCGCCCCTTAATATTTCTTTTGCATATATCTCGGAAACGAAAAAGAATTTCTGAATAGTTGTTGAACAAAAAGTGTTCAAAATCATGAGAACTTTAAGATGATATCAAGAAAAAGGGGCTGATCATTCATGTAAGGGGCCAAGATGGGCCGGAAGTGTTTAATCTATAACTTTTTATTGATCAATATTTTGTTACACATTACTGAAGGGAAATTGTTTGTCTTAACAATTTATTTATATAACTATTTTTTAACGAAAATCTCAGTCAAATTCTTATCTCATCTTATCGAAAATTGGACGGAAGACCCACTCGTTGCTCGCAACGAGATCGCATCTATTATTCTTTTTTTTCTTTACAAAATTTGTGGAGAAGATTTCTCGGAGATGGCTCGTTCGATTTTATTCAAATTTTCATGGTAGATGAGTTGACATCTGAAGTTAATTCCGGCAATATCGTTTTTTGAAAATCACTTCCGGTCGGAAGTTATCTCCCTTATATTAAAATTCAGAGGACCTCCTTGTCTGCGATGGAACTCAAAAACGGCTTAAGCTAGAGCGCTGAAATTTTCAGTGATGATAGAGGACATGTTGCCATTATGCACCTGGGTTTAGATATTTTCCGGAAGTGCCTAGTATGGAAGCTCGGTAGGGGTCGAAATTTAGGACACGAATCATGAGTTAATTTTTGAGACATTTTGTATCATATCTTTTAAAGTATAATTATTTTGTTAAAACATATTGAACAATATTTGTGCAGAATGACAAGATCTGTAACATGATATCAAGAAAAAAGGGCTGACTTATCACATTAGGGGCCTATAGGGGCCAAAAGTCTGAAATTGATAACTCTTAAACAAGCAATATTTTGGTATACATTACTGAAGCAAAAATATTTATCTTAACAATTTACAACTATATATTATGAATTTAACGTCGTATGGCACGTAATTAGGGGCCACAAGGGGCTAGAATGCTAAATCTTTGACGCTTTATATCTCGAAAAGGGGAAACATTTTGAAAAGCAATATTGAACAAAAGTTGTTTAGAATGATGGTCTCAACAATGTGCATCCTTTGAATTTTTCCTAAACAGTCCCTATAAGGACTTAAAGGGACGGCCCCTAAATATTTCAAGTCCACATATCTCAAAAACGAAACGAAACTTCTGAATACTTGTTGAACAAAAAGTCTTCAGAATTACAAGACCTTTCATGTCATATCAAGAAAAAGGAGCTGATCCCTCAAATTAGGGGCTCAGAGGGGCCAAAATTCTTTCATCTATAACTCCTTAACGTTAAATATTTTGATGTTAATTATTGAAGCAAAAATTTTTATCTTCACAATCTGCAACTATATATTTTAAAATTTTGATCAAATATTACGTAATTAGGGGCCATAAGGGGCCAGAAAGCTTAATCTTTGACACTTTATATCTCGAAAAGGGGAAACATTTTGAAAAGCAATATTGAACAAAAGTTATTTAGAATAATGGTCTCAACAAAGTGCATCCTTTGAATTTTTCCTAAACAGTCCCTATAAGGACTTAAAGGGACGGCCCCTAAATATTTCAAGTCTGCATATCTCGAATAGCTGTTGAACAAAAAGTCTTCAGAATTACAAGACCTTTCGAGTGAAATCAAGACACCTCGAATTAGGGGCTCAAAGGGGCTAAAAGTCTTTCATCTATAACCCTTTTACAGTAATGTTCATCTTCACGATCTGTTACTATAAATATTTTAAAATCGTTATCAAATATTGCGGTTTTTGGTGCCATAATGATCAAAATTTTGTTAAACATAACTGAAGCAAATTGTACGTTTTCACTATTTATATATTTATGAACGAAAATCTCAGTCAAATTCGTATCTCATCTTATCAAAAATCGGACGGAAGACCCACTCGTTGCTCGCAACGAGATCGCATCTAGTTCTTCTTTTTTTTCTCCTTACCGAATTTGTGCAGAAGATTTCTCGGAGATGAATTGATCGATTTACTTCAAATTTTCAGAGTTTATGTCTTATCATCTGAAGTTTGTACCGGCATTTCAAAATTTGAAAAATCACTTCCGGTCGGAAGTTATCGCCCTTTTATTAAAATTCAGAGGACCTCCTTGTCTGCGATGGAACTCAAAAACGGCTTAAGCTAGAGCGCTGAAATTTTCAGTGATGATAGAGGACATGTTGCCACATTGCACCTGGGTTTAGATATTTTCCGGAAGTGCCTTGTATGGAAGCTCGGTAGGGGTCGAAATTTAGGACACGAATCATGAGTGAATTTTTGAGACATTTTGTATCATATCTTTTAAAGTAAAATTATTTTGTTAAAACATATTGAACAATATTTGTGCAGAATGGCAAGATCTGTAACATGATATCAAGAAAAAAGGGCTGACTCATCACATTAGGGGCTGATAGGGGCCGAAAGTCTTTAATCGATAACTCTTAAACAAGCAATATTTTTGTATACATTACTGAAGCAAAATTATTTATCTTAATAAACTACAACTATATATTATGATTTTTACGTCATATGTTACATAAATAAGGGCCACAAGGGGCCAGAATGCTTAATCTTTGAAGCTTTATATCTCGAAAAGGGGAAACATTTTGAAAATCAATATTGAACAAAAGTTGTTTAGAATGTTTATCTAAACAATGTGCATCCTTTGAATTTTTCCTAAACAGCCCCTATAAGGACTTAAAGGGACGGCCCCTAAATATTTCAAGTCTACATATCTCGAAAACGAAACGAAACTTCTGAATAGTTGTTGAACAAAAAGTCTTCAGAATTACAAGACCTTTCCGGTGATATCAAGAAAAAGGGGCTGACCCCTGAAATTAGGGGCTCAGAGGGGCCAAAAGTCTTTCATCTATAACTCCTTAACGTTAAATATTTTGATATTAATTATTGAAGCAAAAATGTTCATCTTCACAATCTGCAACTATATATCTTAAAATTTTCTTCAAATATTACGTCATTAGGGGCCATAAGGGGCCAGAATGCTTAATCTTTGACGCTTTATATCTCGAAAAGGGGAAACATTTTGAAAAGCAATATTGAACAAAAGTTGTTTAGAATGATGATCTGAACAATGTGCATCCTTTGAATTTTTCCTAAACAGCCCCTATAAGGACTTAAAGGGACGGCCCCTAAATATTTCTAGTCTACATATCTCGAAAACGAAACGAAACTTCTGAATAGTTGTTGAACAAAAAGTCTTCAGAATTACAAGACCTTTCCGGTGATATCAAGAAAAAGGGGCTGACCCCTGAAATTAGGGGCTCAGAGGGGCCAAAAGTCTTTCATCTATAACTCCTTAACGTTAAATATTTTGATATTAATTATTGAAGCAAAAATGTTCATCTTCACAATCTGCAACTATATATCTTAAAATTTTCTTCAAATATTACGTCATTAGGGGCCATAAGGGGCCAGAATGCTTAATCTTTGACGCTTTATATCTCGAAAAGGGGAAACATTTTGAAAAGCAATATTGAACAAAAGTTGTTTAGAATGATGATCTGAACAATGTGCATCCTTTGAATTTTTCCTAAACAGCCCCTATAAGGATTTAAAGGGACGGCCCCTAAATATTTCAAGTCTGCATATCTCGAAAACTGAATAGTTGTTGAACAAAAAGTCTTCAGAATTACAAGACTTTTCATGTGCTATCAAGACCCCTCGAATTAGGGGCTCAAAGGGGCTAAAAGTCTTTCATCTATAACCCTTTTACAGTTATGTTCATCATCACGATCTGCTACTATAGTTACGTTAAAATCTTCATCAAATATTGCGTTTTTTGGTGCCATAATGATCAAAATTTTGTTAAACATAACTGAAGCAAATTGTGCGTTTTCACTATTTATATATTTATGAACAAAAATCTGAGTCAAATTCGTATCTCATCTTATCAAAAATCGGACGGAAGACCCACTCGTTGCTCGCAACGAGATCGCATCTAGTTATTATTATTATTCTTTTTTTTTCTTTACAATTTTTGTGCAGAAGATTTCTCGGAGTTGGCTGGGTCGATTTACTTGAAAATTTCAGGGAAGATGTATCTTTGTCTGAACCTTATACGTTTTTCTCATTTTTTTGAAATTCACTTCCGGTCGGAAGTTATTGCCCTTTAATCAAAATTCAGAGGACCTCCTTGTCTGCAATGGAACTCAAAAACGATTAAAGCTAGAGTGCTGAAATTTTCAGCGATGATAGAGGACATGTTGCCATTGATCACCTGGGTTTTCAAATCTTCCGGAAGTGCCTAGTATGGAAGCTCGGTAGGGGTCAAAATTTAGGACACGAATCATGAGTGAATTTTAGAGACATTTCTTACGATAACTTTTTAACTATGAGTATTTTGTTAAACCATATTGAACGGAAATTGTGTAGAATTACAAGATCTTTTATTTGATATCAAAGAAAAAGGGCTGACTTATCACATTAGGGGTGGAAAAGGGCCGAAAGTCTTTAATCAATAACTCTTTAACGATCAATATTTTGTAATGCATTACTGAAGCAAAAATGTGTATCTCAACAATGTACGACTATATATTATGATATTCACATAATATGTTACATAATTAGGGACCATAAGGGGCCAGAATGCTAAATCTTTGACGCTTTATATCTCAAAAGTGGGAAATATTTTGATAAGCATTATTGAACAAAAGATGTCCAAAATAATGTTCTAAACAAGATGCAACCTTTCATATTTTGCTAAACGTCCCCATTAAGGAGTTGAAGGGCCAGCCCCTAAATACTTCCTTTGCAAATATCTCAGAAACGAAAAAGAATTTCTGACTAGTTTTTGAACAAAAAGTATTCAAAATCATGAAAGCTTTAAAGTGATATGAAGAAAAACGGGCTGGACCCTCACAATAGGGGCTGAGAGGGGCCGAAAGTCTTTGAACAATAACTCTTTAACGATCAATATTTTGTAATGCATTACTGAAGCAAAAATGTTTATCTCAACAATGTACGACTATATATTGTGATATTCACACCATATGTTACATAATTAGGGGCCATAAGGGGCCAGAATGCTAAATCTTTGACGCTTTATATCTCAAAAGTGGGAAATATTTTGATAAGCATTATTGAACAAAAGATGTCCAAAATAATGTTCTAAACAAGATGCAACCTTTCATTTTTTGCTAAACCTCCCCATTAAGGAGTTGAAGGGCCGGCCCCTAAATACTTCTTTTGCAAATATCTCAGAAACGAAAAAGAATTTCTGACTAGTTGTTGAACAAAAAGTGTTCAAAATCATGAAAGCTTTAAAGTGATATGAAGAAAAAGGGGCTGGACCCTCACAATAGGGGCTGAGAGGGGCCGAAAGTCTTTGAACAATAACTCTTTAACGATCAATATTTTGTAATGCATTACTGAAGCAAAAATGTGTATCTCAACAATGTACGACTATATATTATGATATTCACATCAAATGTTACATAATTAGGGACCATAAGGGGCCAGAATGCTAAATCTTTGACGCTTTATATCTCAAAAGTGGGAAATATTTTGATAAGCAATATTGAGCAAAAGATGTCCAAAATAATGTTCTAAACAAGATGCATCCTTTCATTTTTTGCTAAACCTCCCCATTAAGGAGTTGAAGGGCCGGCCCCTATATACTTTTGCGAATATCTCAGAAATGAAAAAGAATTTCTGACTAGTTGTTGAACAAAAAGTGTAAAAAATCGTGAGAGATTTAAGGTGATATCAAGGAAAAGGGTCTGACCCCTTAAATAAGGGGCTGAGAGGCGCCGAAAGTATACAATCAATAACTCTTTAATGATCAATATTTTGTAATATATTACTGAAGCGAAATAGTTCTTCTTCACAAACTTTATCTAAATAACATGATGTTGATATCATATGTTACGAAATAAGGGGTCTTTAGGGGGCCAAATTGCATAATCTTTGGCGCAATATGTCTTGAAAAGGAAGAATATTTTGATAAACAGTATTGAACAAAAGACGTTCAAAATAATATTCTGAACACTATGCACTCTTTGAATTTTTGCTAGACGTCCCCATTTAGGACTTGAAGGGCCGGCCCTTAATATTTCTTTTGCATATATTCCGAAAACAAAAAAGAATTTCTGAATAGTTGTTGAACAAAAAGTGTTCAAAATCATGAGAGCTTTAAGATGATATCAAGAAAAAGGGGCTGACCTCTCACATTAGGGGCCAAGAAGGGCCGAAAATCTTTAATCTAAAACCCTTTAATGATCAATATTTTGTTAAACATTATTAAAACAAAATTGTTTGTCTTAACAATTTAATTATATCATTATATTTGGACGAAAATCCCAGTCAAATTCTTATCTCATCTTATCAGAAATCGGACGGAAGACCCACTCGTTGCTCGCAACGAGAATCTCATCTAGTTATTATTATTATTTTTTAGTCAGTGCATTTTAATAATTTGAATACAAATTTAATGAAATAATCTATGATTAAAACATTTACATTTCCTACACTTAAGCTAAGCTCAAACGTAATTAATTTCAGTTTCCTGCATTTATAAATTATGACAGAATCAGTCAAAATTTCGAATGTCACAGAGTTGACCCTTCATTCTGAATGCAAAGTGTATAAATTATACAAAAACAAATGAAAAAAGTACCTCACTCTAACTCCTGAAAATAATGGGTTACTTTTCTCGTTTGGAAGTGATCCAAATTTTCCCCCGTATCCTTTATGTGATATTTATGCATCTGATTTCAGTGATTGGAGATTACATGCACCCTGGACTAAGCGGAGGAGAGAAGAAGCGTGCGAACATTGCATGTGAACTTCTTACAGATCCCAACATTATGTTGATAGACGTAAGAGTGCTTGTAATTCTGTATCCCTACTTTAATCGATGTGATTAATTTGGGAAAAAACCTTGATTACTGCACTTATTTTAGAGAATAAAAAGCAATCTGTATGTAGCTTAAATAAAGATCAGGAAAACAAGTTAGAGATTTTCATCAAGTTTTCACTTTAAGACATGTTCTGAAAAATGTATAACTGTGTATACCATTAGCAAGTATGACTTTGTTTTTCCAGGAACCTACTTCCGGTCTGGACTCTAGCACTGCGCATGTGTTAATGCAGGAGCTCTGGGACTTTGCTTCTCAATATAACAAGACTATACTGACCACTATCCATCAGCCGTCCAGTCAGATTTTTCACATTTTTTCGTCTCTACTATTGCTTGTTAACGGACGCGTGAGTTTACCTACGTATAATAGGATAGAGGGCCCCTCTCATGACCCTGTCACCTTGGTCTTCACTTTTTTATTTTTTACATTATATGTACTTAATAGACAGTCGTCACATTTTTTTTACTTTTAAGGACAGATGATACAAACAAAGCTTTTTTTCAAAAATCATGAAAATAACAACTTTATAGATGTTTATACAAATAAAATAAATAGTTCAAACGCTTAGATTTTAATTTTTCATTCAACATTTCATAATAATGTCATATAAAGTGATAAGAATTTTTATAGATTTAAAAGGATGGCTGCAGAAAAACAGAAGTTTGAACATCATAGAAAGCTTACAATTTCTTAATATTTTATAAATTTGTTAAATTCACCATTTACAACCAAAATACATGTAGGTCCAAAAATATAAATTGCAATCCACGTATCCATTTTCTGCTTGTTTTATCTGTCCTTAAAACATGGGCTATAAATTGGCGGGTATTTTCAAGCATTTTAATGAACTTTGGTTTAAGAAAAATGAACATAAGAATAGCATTTGACGGGGTTCCAGGGCAACAAGCATTTTGTAGGATCCAAGAACCAAACTGTTTGCCGAAGGCAACACTTTGGTTCGAGGGTGCGACAAAGCGCTTTCTGTTGAAAAACCATGACAAATGATATTTTGTAATACGTTTTACTTTCTATTATGACGTACATTGGCTTACATGTTTTCAATAAAGATGACAAAATTTTGTAAATTTCGTTTACGCACACTGAGGAATTAACTTGATAAATTCCGTTCCGAACACCAGCGAATACAAATCACATGTAGATACAGCGGATCTAGCCTGTGCTGAGACAAAAAAGTGTGGCATAAAAATGTTGCAGCGGTCCAACATCTCATTAAACGGTCCAACATTTTTTTTTTTGGACAACTCGGTAAAATATTGGAAATGTTAGACTTCATTTCAGTAAAGGTTTATGTACGAAACAATTTTTTAAGGTATAAAGAATATTTCTGCTTAATCCATGTGACACGTACATATTCATCTCACACTGTCGGTATATTATTCAGAAGTTTTCTTCCCTTTAGGCTGCGTACTTTGGCGATGCCCACAAAGCACTCCCGTATTTCAGTGGACTGGGCCTAAGCTTTCCTGATCATTACAACCCATCTGATATTATGCGTAAGAATGAGTTTAATGAATAAAAACATATCCCATCTCTCATTTCCTTATATTTATTGCAAAAGACAATTTTTCCAATTCTGAGATAAAACTCTCGTCTGAATTTATTAATGTATTAATTATCAGTTAATAATTGTAATGAATAAAATCAACGTTTATTTGAAATCATTTTTAGTGGAGTTGTTGACCACAAATACGGAAGTCGTAAATAAAATTCTTGAAGCATCGGAGAAAGCTAAGTGAGTACAATGTCGTAAAAAAAATCAAATTTACACAGTAGACAAGCAAACGGTGATATGTTTAGTTCTAAACTCAAAAAATTCTACAGTTCAAAATTCATTTGATAATTTTTGTGTATTTAGTTCTCAGAGCAAATTTGCTGCTATGAAATTTTCTGGAAATTTGGCCCGATGAATGCATGTCTGTGCGTCAACAGCAAATTCACAAACATAAGATAAGGAGTGCCAATTATTTGTCAGTCTCAAACTTTCAAAATTTGCAAAAAAATGCTACATGAGCACACATGATCAGCCACATACAATTATGGAAGATGGCAAAGACAGTCATCATAAATAATGATAATGTTCCTAACACATACATGCTTAATTTGAAAACATGTGTAAAAACGCATAAAACAGGATGTGTTTGTGAAACACTGATGCCCGCGTATGGCAGCTTAAGGCAAAGGTTAAAGTTTCTCAAATGCAAAACAAACTCCAAGGTCAAGAGTTCATAAATGTTGTTACCCTAAGAAAGGACTTGTGTCAATGGACATACATGGTAAATATGAAAGCCAAAGCACCAACCATTCAAAGTTATCTTCAAGGTTAATGTTTTCTAAAAGTAGGTCAAACTCCAAGGTCAAGGTCAAAAGGTCAAAATTAATGGTACGCGGGGGAAGACCTTGTCATAAGAAATACACTTGCAAAATATAAAAGCCCTAGCACCAACTGTTAAAAAATTATGACAAAGGATAAAGTTTTTTCAAAAGTAGGTCAAACTGCAATGTCAAGGTTAAAAGGTCAAAATTGTTGGTATCAAAAGGAAGTTTTTGTCACAATAAATATACCTGTGAAATTTGAAAACCCCAGTGCTGACTGTTCAAAAGTTATGGCCAAGGTTAAAGTTTTTTAAATGTGGGTCAGACTCTAAGATCAAGGTCAAAAGGTCAAAAATAATAAACTCATGGAAAGGTCTTGTTACGATGACTACACATGTGAAATATGAAAGTCCTAGCACCAACTGTTTGAAAGTTGAGACCAAGGTTAAAGTTGGGCATTTTTTGCAAAAGTGGGTCAAACTCCAAGGTCAAGATCAAGAGGTCAAATATGTTGGTACCCAAAGGAAGGTCTTGATAGAATGAATACACATGTGAAATATGAAAGCCAACAAATGAAAGCTCCAACAAATCAAAATTTAGGGGCAATATTAAAGTTTTTGCTGACAAACAGACAGAAATACGAACGGACAGGGCAAAAACCATATACCTCCGAATCTTCGATTACGGGGGCATAATAAATCACCTATATAATACATGTATATAACAATTTTGTTATTTAAAGTAATACACCTTTAAAACTGAGAATTATTTTCAGAAATTTTAGGGTGAAGGTCGAAAATGCAGAACTCTGCAATGGCAAAGAGTCGGCTAGTAATGGTGATGTCACATCAAAAATAGCACCATCACTCACAAACGGACATGCTAATGAACCAGCTTCTAATGGTCATGTCATTCCTCTTGTATACCACAAAACGGGTGAATATTTGACAGAGTATACATGTATATTAATAATTTACCTTTTAAATATATCAATTATGTGAATGTATATTTTAAGAACATCACCTTTTTTGGTCTTTCTTTTTAGATCTTACAGATATTGTGCTTGATGTTTCGTCTCTTGAACACGTTTCAACAAGCAATCTAGAAAGTCCACTAAACAGAAAGTGGGCAGCCTCCTTTTGGACACAATTTCGCATGTTGTCTTGGCGAAATGCCAAACAATCAAAATGGAGGATTTTTGACGAATGTAACCTTGTTCACGCTCTGATTGTTGGCAGTATTTTTTGTGTTATATATTATCAGATACCTAGTTCTAACGACACACTTCGAGACAGGATGGGAGCGGTGAGAAATCTTAAAGTTTCCTTTTTTTAATGACTTCAGATTCATAGAAATTAATAATTTTGCTTTTATTAAAAACTATAGTAAAACACGCTTATAGAGAACACGCTTATAATGAATTGACGCTTACAGGGAAGTGATGTTCATTCCCCGAGATTTTAAAATATAGTAAACTTAACGGATGTAACAAATTACGCTTATAACGAAGCAATATCATCCGTCCTTAGCACTTCGTTATAAGCGTGCTTTACTGTATGCGAATATTTGACAGGTTTTCTTTCCTCTGGTATATTGGGGATTTGCAATGGTTACTGATGCCGTTACCAGTTGTAAGTTGTATTTTTTGACTTTTGATTTGAACAGACATTAAAATTCACTGTTCTTATATTTTTCTCATTTATTTATCATATATTTTAGAACTGAAATAGCAGCAAACTAGACACATACATGTATCGTATTATGTATCATAAGAATTATTCAAATATCTTTTACTGAACTCATTGCCTATATTTTTAGATGATTTTTTTATTGTAGAAGGGAGGCAATAAAATATTCTTTACTACAAAAATAAAATACAATTTGTTTTAAAAAATGCTTAACGTACATGTATACGTTATTATCTAAACTTCTTATGTCACCACATTTAGTATAGGATTTTCGAAATTAGAATTTCTTTCGATCTCATCTCCAAATTACTTACTTTAATATCATAAATATAGATATTATACATTTACTTTTTAAAGTTATTGGAGAACGAGAGGTTGTGAGGAAAGAGAGAAGAGCAGGTGCCTACCGCCTATCTGCCTATTACACGGCTAAGATGGTCAGTGAACTTCCAATGATGATTGTGGTGCCTATTGCCCAGCTTTCGGCCATGTACTGGTTGGCAGGGATGGGGGGACCGGTGCAGTTTGCCATTTATATAGGAATAAATCTTCTGAATTGTTTTACCACTCAGGTAAGGAATTGAGATTGGGTATTGAATTTCTCAACATTTCTTTTATACTTGAAGACCTAAGGACAAGGTATGGTAATGGCCAAATTTTGTCCCTTTTTTGATAAAAATATCAAAACACGGTTAAAATTGAGACTTTAAAGTATGTTTGTTTTATAACCAGAAATAATTTTGATTCAACCATACACAGAAGCAACAAAAGGATGACAAAATAGCATACTCTACAAAGAACTACGAACGCTAAATTTCGATTCCAGCCTAAATTTTACACCCATTTAATTCAACATTAATGGCAATTTGGCCATTAAAACTTTTTTTTGAATTTTATAACCACTGTCAAATAGTTAATTTCTTTTAATTACAGCTCGACCGTCACGGTAGCTCAGTCGGTAGAGCGCTCGCTCCGTGATCGGAAGGTCGTGTGTTCGAATCACGCCGCGACTGACCTAAGTCGATAAAAAATAGGTAGCAACTGTTCCATCGCCAAGCGCTTGGCACTTTGAAGTGAAAGTTGCGGGTCCTTCGGATGAGACCTTAAAAACCGAGGCCACGTGTCACGGTAGGAGTTGGCACGATAAAGAACCCTCACTGCTCAATGGCCCTGAGTGCCAATTAAAGGTCAAAAATTGAAGCCCTTCACCGGTATATGGTGACATCTCTATATGAGTGAAAAAATTCTCTAACGGGACGTAAAACAACATACAATCAATCAATCATTAATTACAGCTCTTTTAATCAGGGATATGTATTGAAAATGTTGTCCATTGAAATTAGGTTTTCAAACATCACCAGATTTTGAAATACTAATTGATTTCTGGACAAACAACCCTTAAATCTTTCCGAATGTTTAATTATGTAAAAGTAAGCATATAAGTTTATTAAACTAAAATTTTTCATGTGTAATTTCATTTAAAATATGTAAAAAATGACAATTTTTGTTGTTTTTTTGTCTGTAAACATTTGTCCCCCCCCCCCCCCCCCGTGAAACAACAAACGCTTTGGTATGAATTTGTTAGATAATAATTTATAATACCTGTAAAAGTGAATTTTTTTGTTTCGCCAGAGAGGGGATATATTTTTGAAAATATTTTTCGTTTTCCATTGATTCCTATAGTAAAAAACACAGTCAAGGCTTACCAAAATTATAGCTTAATAGACACCCAAAGTAGGGGCCAAAAAGGGGTTTGAGCCTATCTTGTTCTTTAATTCAATTATAAGCATCTTTATACATAGTTAACTGAAGTCTGCTTTAGTCTATTCCCAGGGCTGGGTCAGGATGTATATATATAATCGGTGTCTGTGAATTTCAATTCATATTAAATTAACAGAAATGTTCTTATGGAACAGGAAGAATATACATATTGAATGAATGTTCAACCATCCTCACTTTAGATTGATTCAGGTAACCTGTAATTTAAATCATAAATCTTGGCTCCGGGGCCGTAAAACTTAGATGACCTCTCTTTTGAACTTAGTCTCACTTTTCCACTATCATGACTATATTCCTTTTGTCAGGTGAGATTAAGATCAAAAGTGAGCTCATCTAAGTTTTATGGCGCCGGCGCCTGATTTAAGGATCTATTAAGAATTAGGCTAAAAAGTAACAATGAACGGGAACAATCTTTTCTTCAGTGGTCATCAAAATAGATAAGAAATAAATACAATTAATTTCACAAAGTATTTTATCGTTAAATGCGGTGTGTTAAATAGTGTTTTATTTACAGAGCATAGGGTACATCATTGGAGCCTGTGTCCGCACATTTAAGTACAGCATAACAGCCGTCAACACTGTGATGGTGGTATTCCTTATATTAGGTAAGACATATATTGAGGTCATGACTTCAACTCTAACCCGGCCCAACCTTAGACATGATTGTTCCTTTGCAAAACACTAGACATCAAGAAGTGAATGTCACGTGACTTTCAGATAAGACGTTAAGAATGCACGACTTGATAAAGATTCATCTATTTAAATAATAAATGATTGTTCTGTGGCATACATATCTGAAATTTCGCATATCATTCATAACTAGCTAGTTACTATAGTGGTTTCTTATAATTTCTTCACGAGAGAAAAATTCTCGCTAGTGCATAAAATAATAATCAGTCAAGACCAAACTTATCTGCACAATACATCCAGGCAGGCATTATTTGAATTATATTTGATGGAAGACCTTTTAATGGATATTAAATTTCTTTACCTACTGAAAAATGCGTTTTTGACTTTGAGAAAATTACATTGGTTAAAGGTGAAAATATTGAGTTGGTCTATCTCGTGGTTTGAAACTCTTCAGTGTGATGCGTATAGAAGGTCATGAATACATGAATCAATTTTTTCATTGAAGCAGAAAATTCTTCCAGCTTTGAAATAATATTTGTTAAAATTTTGAATTCTTTGATGTCCTCCGTTTTATTTACAGGTGGATTTTTTAACACGTCTTTCCCCACATGGTTTACTTGGGCTAAGTATACTTCATTCCTTCACTATCCCTTTGCCGCCATTGTGACTGTTTTATTCGGAGATATAGAACCATTCAGGTATGGACTTTTTACATTAAAAATACGTGATGTACGTGTTATTTGTGGCATACCAATATTGTTTTAAGTCATTTGATTATAATAGGGAAAATTGAGGTTGAACACTAAATAATTTCAGTAAATGTTGAACCAAGTCTGGTTTATTTTCTTTTAGATTTGCTTTATTTATAACATGAAGTGTTAAACAAGGGAAAAAAAAGATAGATTCAACTTGATTTAATATTTGAATTGTAAAAGAAAGATCTTGAAAAGTAAATTATTGAGGATTTTCATTTAGTTATCCCCTTTGTAACTTAATCTTTAGAAGACCATGTAAGCAAGTACCAGTATGTAAATGTATAAAAAAAAATATCCTCTGTACTAATAAACTAAAAAAAATCTTCTGATTGCTGAATTGCATTAAAATGCTCATCCCTTGTTTTAGGTGCGGAAACTCTCAAATATTCAAGAAATGCCAAAATGAAACAGAGCTTATCACAGGAAGTGACGTGTTACACAGTGTAGGCATTGATCTCCCTGTTTATTGTTGTGTAGGAACGATGGTGGCCCTGATTATTTTGTTACGTATTCTTGGATATTATGCCATTAAATACAGGTTGTAGACATATATAAATAAATATAAGAATGACTGTCATCAGCGTTATACATATTACAATTGGATGGTGCATACCTCCTTCGTCGGCTGGGAATGACAGAGAAGACCATTATGGCCTCACATTTAATCAACAAAACGATATTATTATGAAATTCAGAAAATTCAAACGAGCCATGCATGACATTTCTTGAAGTTATGTATTCAGGTCCTGAAGTGTAAATATGAAATATGAAGATAACGAACAGTAATCAAGCTCAAAAATCTATTGAAACAATACAAATTTGGAGCAGAGCAAACACATACCTCTAAAAACATCAGAGATGGGATCAGGTGGTTCCTTTGGTTCCTTTGCTATCATCTGTTAAGTTGGTCAATTGTCCTCTGTCTTCCACTAAATTATTTTGGCTAGTATTGGATCTGCATTCTGCTCCTTTTGTAGGTCTTCTTGTGTCCTTGTCATTGTACCAATATTGGATTTTGGATTGGTCTTCTGTTAACTTTATTACATGATTATTTTCTTCTTCTTTGATAATTTGTTTCTTCTTATCACAGTAGTTAAAAGGTTCACATGGTCGACAACTTACCCCATCACTATTACCATATTGTTTTCCTGGTCGATATATAGTTTTAAGTCATAAGTCTGTAGAACCTCAAGCCAACGGGCTTCTTGTCCCTCTGGATTTTTGAAGTTAAGGAGCCATGTTAATGCCCCTTGATAAGTTCTTAATAAAAAGCTTTTCCATAAAGGTAATGGTGAAAATGCTTTATTGAACTCATACAGCCAAGAGTCCACGTCTGGATACTCGGTAGTTCCTTTCTGGTTTACTGAATGCCTTGCTAAAGTACGCACTAGGTTTCACTATGCCATCCTCCACCTAAGATAAGACTCCACCCAATGCGAACGCACTAGCTTCTGTGTCCAGTACAAAAGGTAAACTCAAGTCTGGGTACCATAAGATAGTTGCTGAAGTAAGTGCTGTTTTTAGGTTTTGAAACGCTTAATCACACTGAGGGGCCCAATTTAATTTCTCTGTATTCTCTATAAGTATGTGGAGAGGTCGGGTTATATCTGTGAATCCTTTTATAAATCTTCTATAATAAGAACATGTTCCTACGGAACTTCTTACATCTGTCATTGTTTTTGTACAGGCCACTCCTTAACACCGAATATTACTGGTCTAGCTGTAATGCTAACGTGTGATTCTAGCTCGGCTATGGTTGCAGAGGTATCCTTTAAGTTCTTGGTCTCTGACAATTATGACAATTATAAAAATTATGAAACCTTACCATTCTTAGGTTTCACTAGACATCTGGCGACCAATAACCATGATTGTTGAAGGTCTATTTTCGTTCCTCCTAAGAGGAGTTCTTTGTCATTTAAATTTGGGTCAATGTTTCCTTCAATTATCATATCTCTTCTAGGAAGTATAGATAAAGTCTCTTGCACTGAAATTTTGAACACAGAACTTTGTTCACTGTTTAGATCACACGGTAACTTCTTGTTTCCTAAGGTAAGAGTTCCTTCGCCCAAGTGCAATTGACAGTTATATGCTCTTTAAGAAAATCAAAGCCTTAGATGATCTGTGCTTCAACGTCAACGATGACTTCTCTGTTTTGTAATATTTCTTTGGATGAATAACGCCACCACTTGCCGGTGGAGGGCTGCAAATTTAGACCTATACTCGGCACCCAGGACCATTGAGCAGTGAAGGATCTTTTTCGCCCCATCACCTACTGCGACATTGGACCTCGGATTATACGGTCTCATCCGAAGGACCAGTCTCCACGTTCCGCATTGGGATTCGAACCCGCGACGTAAGAATCAACTCCTTATTTCGCAAGACTAGAGCAAAACTCTAACCACTGCGGCACACGGGCAACCACATCAATTGTTATTATTTGAACTCTTTATTTCAAAAACCTGTGGAAATTAAAAGATGCTTGAGTTTCTAATTGACAATATCTATGTGGTTTTTGGAGACCAGGTCTTCCAACATTCTATTGGAATTCCCATGGGTACCAATTGCGCCCCGTTGTTAGCAGACCTTTTTTTTTGTATTCATATGAAGCAGAATTTGTCCAAAATCTTATACGTAAAAAGAAGAAAACACTTGCTGTGGCCTTCAACTCGACATTTAGATATATCGACGACGTACTAGTATTGTCAATTAACAATGGTTATTTCCATTCTTATGTCGATAAGATATATCCTGATGAGCTTGAGATAAAAGATACCACAGAGAAAGACACATCTGTTTCATATTTGGATATTTTACTTGAAAAGGACGTTAATGGTAATCTAACAACCAAGCTTTATAATAAACCTGATGACTTTAACTTTCCAATCGTCAACTTCCTTTACTTATGCAGCAATATACCCTCATCACCTGCATTCGGAGTTTATATCTCTCAGTTGGTTCGATACGCAAGAGCATGTTCTACGTATGTACAATTTGTAAAACGAAGTAATTTATTGACAAACAAGTTGATAAAACAAGAATATCGGCAGTCTTGTTTAAAGTCATCATTTCGTAAGTTCTATGGTCGATACAATGACCTTGTCAGCAAATACAATTTATCATTGAGTCAAATGCTGACTGACTTTTTTCATACTAATTGTTAGACCATTATTTAATTACTGAATTGTCGACGGATTTTTCCGTTATTTCCCGATCATGACAAGGAGCACACGGCGGATGTGACCGGTCGGCAGGGGATGCTCACTCCTCCATGGCACCTGATCCCACCTCTGATGTTTTGGAGGTCCATGTTTTCTCTGCTCCTATTTTGTATATTTCAATGGACTTTTGAGCTTGAATACTGTTCTTTATCTCCATATATTTCATTCCGAACTTGTTATCAGTTAATCCGAAAAATAATAGGTTTGTTTGTTTGTTTGTTTGTTTAACGTCCGTTCCGAGAATTCTTTACTCATATTGAAACGCCACCACTTGCCGGTGGAAGGCTGAAAATTTTAGACCTATACTCGGCACTCAGGGTCATTGAGCTGTGAGGGATCTTTTTCGTGCCAGCACAGACTGCGACACGGAACGTCGGTTTATACGGTCTTACCCTGTTAAATTAACGCAAAATGCAACAACTGTGCGTTTAAAATCAATTTGTCGATTCTTTTTTTCTCGCAATGCTCATTTGCGTTCTTTAACTCTCCATCGTCACAAAGTGCTCTTACGTCTATTAAGCACACTAGCACTGAAAGGCGCTAAATTCATAATAAAGATTACGAAATACCCGGTAAGCAATTATGAAGAGAGAAAATTAGAGAATGTAAATATAAGAACTCACGGTATTCAATTTTTCGGCACGACCAGGACCGAAGACACCCAAAAATAAGAATTCAATGCATAAGTGAATTCTGTCGAAGATCATGCCAGACGTTAGGCTAATTATGAAAGAGAAGACATGAACACTTCGTCAGAATGAATTAACTGTTTCAGAAATACATTAAAGAACCGCATAAGAAACTTAAGAAGCAAGATGCGAGCAATCTATTCTTCCGTTTTCATTCAATCGGAGATGATAAGAAAAAATAAGATTACATGAACAATATTTATGGTTCCAGCAGACAAGGCTTGTAACAATATTGTCTTCGTTTGTAAGGCTCATTATTATAGCTGTATTATAGAAGAACTTATATTCACAATTCATTTCTAAGGATGAAAGTCTTCAAAATCACATTTCAGTCTTTAATACTTCTAACATTCCAGTCAATCATGGAGAGTTCGATCTACCCTACCTACAATGGATTCCTAAATTTGATAAAAATTCTTGCAAGCAAAGATACATTGCCCTGTACAGCGAATGCTCTGCCAAGCCCCTATATTCCTTACAAAAATATTCAAAGCTACAAAGGAGAAACTTCAGACGTACTGTGCTGCAGCAAATTCTAGAATTGGTGTAAATCAGATGTGTTCTCAAGAAACTCCAAAGAACTTTTTAAAAAAATAAAATCTCTGAATTTTCTATCAAAACGTACGACTTTTCTACACTTAATACAACCATTCTTCACGACAAATTAAAAATAACTAGGATATTTGACCATTGACAACTGCTTATTTAATAAAACTGGAACTCGGAAATTTTCTTATCTTTTGATTGGTCATCAACAAAAGTACTTTGTTTTGTTTGATGTTTAACGTCCCTCTCGAGAATTTTTCACTCATATAGAGACGCCACCACTTGCCGGTGGAGAGATACAAATTTTGACCTATACTCGGCACTCAGGGCCATTGAGCAGTGAGTCATCTTTTTCGTGACAGCACCTACTGCGGCAAGGGACCTCGGTTTATAATGTCTCATTCAAAGGATCAACCCCTTACTCCGCGACTCTAGAGCAGACGCTCTAACCACTGCGCCACGCGGGCGACAAAATTACTTTGTTAAAAATTACTCTGATTCTACACAAAAATACTCTGAAGTTGTAGTCTTGAGAGACCAGGTCTTCCAAGAAACTGTTGGAATTTTGATGGGCACTAATGGACATTTGCGAAATAGCGTTCACCTCTCAGCGGACTTCGGACTTCAGACCTTAAAAGCGAACTTTTCAAAGGGAGCGGTATAAAAATTGAAAAAGATCAAAGAACAAGGTACGGTTTCAACACAAATTTTGCCCTGTGTTTTTCTTAAAAATGAAAGTAATGTAAAAAATTGAAACTCATGATTTCTGAATCATTGAAATTACACGCAGAAAGATCATACAAATCATTTTTCTCACATGACCTTCTAAATGCTAATTGTGACGTCATAAACTTGTGCATTTTCCCGTATTTTCTTGAAAAGTTGCAGAAGACACCAATTTTCAATGGAATTTTCTCTCAGATGATATTGTCCACAGGCATCGCCCACAAAGATTTTGAGATATGTGATTTTTCAAAGAATTTTACACAACATATCCGAAAATAAACGTGGGCGACGGCTGTGGACACTATTTTCTTAAGGAAAATAACCCTTGAAATGGGTCATTTTGAGGCTTTTTCTGTTTAAAATAGA